TCATACTTTGTCAGAAGAAAATACAAAAAATCATCCACCTCTTATTTTACCTGTGAGTACTGAGCACCCATTAGGATGCAGAGGTGCTTCTGGACAGCTCTGTGGCCTTGGCAAACAAACACTTAAAAGAAGGTGTCACCTTCACTACATGACAAAACCAAGGCTGTCAGGTTGTGCATCTTTTCTGGTATTCTTTTCTCTTGCTGAGCTCTGATGTTGTATCTAAAGTCTTCAATGATCTGCCACAGGGTTTTTTTTTTAGCAGTCAGTTACAGGGCTTGCTTTTCTACATAGAGGTTGATGGTGCACATCTTTTGTCTCACAAAAGAAGCATGCAGCTCTGCTTGGTACACAAGTATGGATATTCCCTCTAGTCAGCAACATCTATCCTTTTATAGATGATTAACTATGGAAGCTGAAAACTGCTTCTACAGCAATCTTTCTTAATGTCAGTGAGGAGTAGTGGTTTGAGAAGAAAGAGGCATTTCTTTTCTTCTTTTTCTTTTTCAAACCAAACTAAATCTTTTTCCAGCTCGTTTGTCGTATCTTCAACCTGTTTAGTCATCTCCATGTAGCCAAGTAATCTTGACTCCTGCTGCATGGTATCCTTACAGTCCAGCTGTTCAGAAACAGCTCAGTCCCCAGATTCTGTGATGCACATCATGTGTGGAGTTTTCTAAAAGTCTCTGCAAAGACTCAAAGGAACAAATGGGCTCAGAGGCATCTCTTCTTCCATATCCATAGCTGAGATCATACCTAGCCCACTGTGGAGTCCCTCAGCATTACAGGGTGAAATCCAAAGCACTTGACATCTTCCTTTCTAGGTAAAGAAACCATCAGACCTCTGGTGACAAGCGGGCTGGTGTACTTTGTCTTGCACCACAGAAATAAATACAAAAATGGTATCAGTAACACAACCTAGGTTGTGGCAAAACACAAGGGAATTTTTATATTCACCTGTTATGAGGATCTAAGCCATTTAACAAAATGTTTAACCTCACACCATTAATTTTTACAGCCTCCAGTCCCTCTTCTATTTGAATATTGCTAATTCTATTGCTGCCTTTTATGCTACTCCAACTACTGCTCTGGACCCTGTGATTCCAGGAACAGATGCAGACTCAAGCCTTGCTCTGTCAAGCTTTCTAAAAACAGCTCATCCCGAGGTCTCCACTGTGCTGGCACTAGCTCTGCAGAGGCAGGGACAGAGATGGCAGGATTTATTCGAGTGTGAGCTTCAGCATCCAAGTGTGAGCTTCAGCCCATTCCGCTTGCTTTCTAGCAGTGGCATACAAACCAATCTGTGTTGCTTTGGGAAAGTGAGAATACATCAGCCTCAACTTATGTTTTGCTTTTTTCTCTAGTGAAAAGTTTTTCCTTCCTCGATATTGGAAAGGTATTTAACAAATCCAGTAGTCTCCTGCTGTTTATCTGACCACATAAACCTCCTATCTTTTGTGTGTTTTGTTTTCCTGTTTGGTTTTTTTGGATTGGTTTTGTTTACTTGTTTGTTTGTTTGTTTTGCTGCTTTTCTTTTTTTTCCGAAGAAGGTCCATGTAGATATTTTCTTTTGGAGTTTTTGTAATTTTTATTGTATTCAGTGAATATTACAATTGATTCAAAAATATTTTAAGAATCAATTTGTAAAATGGAAAAGCCAGTAACCACTGAAACAACAAGGGGTTTTTTTTTAACATCTACAAGAAAAATAAAATTAATTCCTTTGCTTACCCATCCAAAAATAGATTCTATTCTTTGTTATTGTTGCCAGTGCAGTTCCTTAGAAATCAGTCTGGTTTGGGGAGAAAATGGCTGCCTTAAACTGAAGCTAGATGCTGCCACCCATAGGATTGATCCTCACCCGGCCTTTATTTAATGCTTTTTCTGAAACCTGTAAAAACTAAACCACGCAACTCTCAGTTGGCATGTGCTGTATGAATGATGTATAATCATTCATACGGTATAAGTGTCTATAACACTACAGCTACATCCACATAGAAAGTTAATGATTACAAATACAGTCATTTTCTAAGGCATTTGACTTAGGTACCAAAGTCAGTTTAGGCTAACCTTTGCACCAAGTCTGAAATCAGGTGCCCAGGAGGACCCTGGTATGGCAGCTGCTCTGATTGCTCCTTTGTTGTGACAATAGTTGTGTGTAGTCCTTAAAAACCTCCCTTCCTCCCTCTAATTTTAGAAATTGGTTTAAAAAAACCCTGCAAAACAAATGAGTTAGCAGAAAACGGGTGGTCAGCCTCGAGGGGATTTTGTATTAAGCTTTGTGGTTCTCATTAGGATTAATGAGAATTGTGGGAAAATAGATTCTTGAAGTTGTTGTGGTGTTCTCAGCTCATCTCTGTGCCTTGAATCAATGAAAAGATAAGGGGTCATTTCCTTGTATCAGGGAATTTAGGTGGGAAAGCTTCACTTCTCCCAGTGTAAGAGCGTTGGCCTGGCCTCTCAGCAGAGCTCCATTCCCTTATGCTCTGCAAAGGCTTTAGAGGTTATAGATGCTGCCTCTGTGAAGAGGAGGAATTTATTCATGTCATTATTATGCTGAATATTTGTTACCCTTGGCTCTGGCATTCCTGCTGAGAGCCATGTTGTATAGCTGTGGGTTCTGCTAATTCACAAATAAAGGTCTGCAGTACAAACAGAGGTAGAGCAGTCAAATGCTGTGCAGGTGCAGCTTCTGACATCCTACAGTGTGTGAAGTAGGGTTGGGTTGTTCTCCCTTGTTTGTCTTCAAAATAGGAGCTTGGTAACAAGTGAGATTATTCTGGGTTCTCTCCCTGGAAAAAATGCATTTGTTTCCAGAATGTGTTAATCAAGAAAACGATTACTGCTGATTTTCTTGTTGCCTATTTGCCAATTATGCCTGCTTAAGATGTAGTTGAAATAAATTAGAAGAGACATAAGCTGAAGATTTTCTGGTTGTGTGAACTGAGAACAGGCATATACATCTGATCACTTATTCCTTTTGGTTCTGTAATTTGTGTTTGAGAATTGAAGTACTGAAGGAATCCATACTCTTACTCCTGTCTGGGGGAGAAATACAAGCTTTTTTATGGGAGGTGTAAAAAGAGTGTTTATACTTGGTAGGAGCAATTTTACTCACAGCCTACACTTTTTGTAAGCCCCTTCCTGAAGCGTTTAGAAAGAAAGGTACTTGCAGGATATTCTTGTCCAACTTGGTTTACCTGTTTTCTTTCCACCTGACAGAGAAGCAGTGGTTCCATCACTGTGATTCAGTTCCAGCTCAGCCAAATGCCTCCCCTCCTGCTCCTGTAAATTCCTAGCCCTCCAATTTCCTTGTCTTGGCCAGCTTTCTCTGCTTTCCTTAGTGGGAAATGCATGCCACAGGGCTGGCTGAGTGGCTGAGCAGGAGCCCAGCAGGCTCAGCTGGAAGAGAAGAGCTTCCTTACCACATCTCACTGGTCAGTGGTGAGGCTCACCTGCACTCTTGGAGTATTCAGCTCCCCGATAACACTGTCAGCAGAAACACAGAATCCCCACAGGGGTTGCATGATCTTGGTTGCATCTGCCTTAAGCTTCAGGACTCACTGGAAAGGACCAAGAAAGGTTGTTTTGCTGAATAAAAGAACAGCTGCATTGGTTTTGGACTCAGACTTCTTAGAGGGTTGTGTCTTACCTTGCTGATGTAGCAAAACCTCAAGAACTCTTCTGAGACCTGGCACTCACTTTAACTCATGACATGTGTTTCACATTCCCTCTCAGCACCTTCTCAGGTATGAGACTTGACCATCCAGGACTTCACCAAATTCCCTGGTCTTTAGCCCTGATACATCTATCACTGTGCAGAAACTTCTCTTGTTTTCAGTGGACTTGTCCAGTTCAGCTGTTGTGTAATTTTCCTGGTCCATATTCTGTCACTGAGCTATTACTTTTTCAGCTGTATCTGTAGCATGCAAATAGCTTAATGGACTGATGGAGTTAGAGTCCTGAGAGCAAATTTCTAACTTCTTAGTGAATCAGAAAACAGCTTGGTAAGTGTGCATTTAATAGGAGGATGTTTTGAAAGGGACACAATGGCGAAGTGCCCAAGGTGAAAGTCAGAGGAAATACATATGAGTGAGAAAAGTGTTGTAGATCTTGTTTCCATCTTTGTTAGATAGTCTTACCTTGGATGCTGAAGCTTCTTGGTAGAAGAAAGGAGGGGAGTCCTCTGCCTTTCTTGGCTGCTGTGTTTTGGCAGCTAACAACTGGAGAGGCAATGAACACATTGGGCTTAGTTGCCCAATGAAAGCAGGTATTCAGTCTCCCTGAAACTCTAGATGCCTTTGTGTCAGTATGACAGTAAGTTCCAGGATCTGCCAGTTCTGTGACATTTCCATCAACTTAAAAAAAACCAAACAAAAACAGCCAACCCCCCCCACACACACACCAAAAAAACCCAAAACAAAACAAAAAAACCCCCCACACCCAAACAAACAAACAAAAAGGAAAAGAAAGCAAAACCCAGAAACCAAACCAAACCAAAACAAAAAAAACCCCCATATACTGGAAAGTTTGGGAATTTGGAACATGGATCAGAAACTGTGGCAGGGAGATTTAATTCAAAATTAGAATTTTTCTGAGAAGTTCGTATAGCAGTGCATCTAAAGAGCAACTTAAAAATTAATACAGTAATGGTACTACTAATTAATTAAGATTGGTATTTGTTTGGTGTTCTGATAGTACTTTTCTGCTGGTACACACAGTTTTTGGGCTCAGTACAAGCACAGTGGCAGTTTTATTTCAACTCTTACTGTGCCTCTTATTTAAAAGAGGAAAACAGAGAAGTACATTGATTTCTTCTACAAAAAGAGTTGGATTCTGGAAGTGTTAATTCTTTTACTATTCAAATGTGTTTCGTGTGTTTTTGCATGTACAGGATGGATTACGAAGAGGGAGAAGAGAAATTATCTTTAATTAAGTAATTACTCCTAATTTCCAATATAACAGACAATTGATTAAACATCTTTGTTTCTTTTCTGCAGCCTCCTCCACAGATATATGATAAACAACTGGATGAAAGGGAACATACAATCGAGGAATGGAAAGGTAATTGCAGTAAAGGCATGGGAAGGGGTATTTCAGTGGCAAAATGCCACATCCCAGCACCCAGTGTATCTGTGGTAAAATTCCTCAGACATAAAGAATTGACACTAGCCCTACAAACTGGTGCTTTGATAGCAAAAATATAAAGAATGTCCTGAGGACTATCATTATCTACACAGGTTAATGTTAACACAGGAAGTGTGGATTCCAGTGCTTCACTGAAATCTGAGGATATCATCTGGAGAACAGACTACTGTTTGGCAGGATGATGCATCAGAATTTTAGCCCCAGTAAAAAACGTGTTATTGTGCTGCTTCATTTCTAGATAGAGCAGCATTAAACAATTTGTGTACTCTAGTTTAATTCCATTTATCTCAATTCAGCTCCAAAAAGAGATGAGGAGAGGAGAGGAATGGAAGAGGGAGGTCTTAGGCAAGTAGAGCAGTCAGATTTGTGAAGGGTGTTGTTGGGAGGGCTACAACACTGTGTGATGGTTGTTTTTTTCCTGTTTGTAACTCTTACAATTCTCTTTTCCAGAACTCATCTACAAAGAAGTAATGAATTCTGAAGAAAAAACTAAAAATGGCGTAGTAAAAGGACAGCCTTCTCCTTCAGGTACTCGGCCCCATTGAATAACTTTGATGTGATTTCTGTACTGACAAAAAGAGCATGGAGATAGCTGGAGCACTTGTGCTACACTTGCCATTACGTAGACCAGTTAAAAAGCTTTTATGAAATTCAGTGTTTCTAATGAGTTGACCTTTATTAATTGTGCTCCAGCATCATGTTAATACTTAAAAACTGGCCTTCTTGCTGTTTGAGACATAGTTGTTCTGGTATTTTCTGTGGAAAGATCTGTGATTACAGATGATAGTCCTGTAGGTGGGGAAGTTTATCTCACACTAATATTTTTATACTGCTTATGGATGCATAACTGAACTAATAATTTGGTGGTTGATATGATAAAAAATGATGATGTTATCACATATCCATCTGCTGGACATGCAAGACTGCACGCCTGATCCCCACCCCCTGATCCCCATGTTAAGTGTCTGGTACCTAGTCTGGTAGTTTATCCTTTCAGAAGTCTGATAAAATTAGGATAGCTTACTGACAAGCTTTGTTGACACTTCAATGAGAAGGGAAAGTTGTCTCAATGACTGATTCTTAAAATCTTGTCACAAAAAAAAATCAGAACTAAGTTTTTTCTGAGGAAAATTCACATCAGCAGTTCTTTTCACAGAAATGCAAACTGTGACTGCCAGTATGCAGAAATACATATTTGTGAAGACATGCTTCCACTGGCAGACTTGAAGTGACCAGATTTTGAGCACAGTGTTCTAGTAGCATTTGCGTGTAAAACCAGCTCTTCAGAGCTTGTCCTCAAATTAAAATAATTTAATTCAGTTAGTTCTGCATACCTTCAGACATAAGGCTTTTTCCATTCTCATTTTTCACTTGCTGCTGAACTTACTTAATGTTAGAACAAGAAGGTATCATTAGTAATTGACAGGACAAAGGGAAACATGGCAACAATGGAGGGAGTTTATAGAGTGCTGGATGGTGATATTGGAGCACTAGCACTGCACCTGGATTTTGACATCGATGAAGTAATATATTGGAAACAATCCATTGTGTTCTTGCCAAGTAGCAAACAAAGTACAGGACTTGCAGATTTAATTTACTGAACTATGGTACCATCACTGAATAGTAATCTGGAGCCTAAGCAGTATCTCATTCTTAAATCTTTCTCCCCTGCAGTACTGTGGTTGCAGGCTGATTTATGATCAAGAAACATTGTAATTGCTTGTTTCAGGAATTAACTATCCAGGGATTTCTTTATGTATTCCATATTCTGTTTTTTCTATGTGGAAGATTTTTATTGTTTATGTAAAACATTTTCAAACATACAAAGTTGTCATTTCTTACCTGTATTTCTTCTACTGTTTCCCTTTGACTGTTTTTGGATTGTTAGGCACCAACAAGTTTAGCCCCTATTTAAAAACTCAGATGAGGCTGTTTTGTGAAACAGTAGATTTCATGTTTTTCTTCACTTCGTGTGCCTGACTCAAATATTCAGCTGAATGAAATACTGAAAGAATGAGGCAGAACACCAGTTCCGAGCATAAGGAAAATGAGAGACTCTACACACACGTTACTCATTGATTAGTGTTCTTGGCAAGAATTCAGGAAGCTAAGATTTGGCACTATCAATAATCATAGCAAGCAAGCTGGAGATTAGTTTCCATGATTACTTGATCAGACTTTTGGGGGAAACAGCTGAAGCTGACAGCACCAGGAATAATAATTGCCCATTGATGCAGCTACTTGAAGTGCCTGTGTATCAGGGTGTCAATCCCTTGTTCTGCAAAGAACTGGTTAGTATAACATACAAACTTGAAATGTGGGGCTTGGAGGGGGAAACTCAAGTACCCCTCATGCTCATGTCCAGGAAACAAATCAACACGGTCTAAAATTGTTCCCAGATACTATTTCTGCCTGTCCAAAAGATCTCTCAGTGTTTATTTTAAAAAAAGCTTTTTGCGTTGCCTTTCCAAAGTCTTTTTTTGCTGTAGTTCTTGTCCTGTCTCCAGAGAACTTGGAGAACAGATTCATCCATCATTCTTTCTGTCAGCTTTTAGCTCATGTAAATTCTGTCATCATCACATCCCTAATCAGTTTTCTTTCCTTTGAACTTCACTACCTGCATCTTTCAGTCTTTCAAAATTACTGCTTTTTTCTACACTTTGTCTAGACTTCTATCTTTCAGAGCTCACCATGTCCAAACCTATTTAAGGCATTAGTAGTGCTGAATTGAGGGGAAAAATTTGTGTGTAGGTGGGTATGTATGTGTTACATAGATATGTGAGCAACATGTGCATGTCCACATGCACACATAAACAAGGAATTCAATCTTAGATGGTGATTTCTGCATTTCTGTTCTTTCTTTGTCACAGAATTACTGAATGGTTTCATTTTATTTATAAGTTTGGATGCTGTACACTTTACTGACATGCCGACTACTCAAAGGGTCTATGCCATCATTACTAGGATGGGAGAATAGAAGTGGATAGAGTAAAAGGTTTTCTCAGTGGACCTTAATTGCAACAATACATGTGAAAAATAGCCACGAATCAACCTCCAGGATTGTTGACTAATTCACACCCTTATAACATGAAGACATACACCTTTTATGCCCCTATAACCTCTCCAAAATACACACACTATTTGGCTATCACACATGCTTATGAGAATCTTCTGTTGAGGTCTCCTTCTGGGTTCCACAGAAGATGTATTATTTATTTTCAGCTCTACCAAGATGTGCAGTAGAACTTTTCACTAGCAGTCTTGGGGCTCTTCTGCTCTGTCATTTCTGAAGCAGAGAAGCAAAGGATATAAGCTGTTTTATGCAAAAAAATAGGGGAGGAATTTACAAACACTGTTTTCTGCTTGGTTAATGCATTTTTAAAAAGTGTTTCTGGCTGGTATTATCAAACAGCAGGTATTTTCATTAAATTAAAAAAATTAATACAAGGGTGTAGATTACTTAGAACTAAACTTAAATTCTGTCCATACTAACTAACCTCCTCTCACACTCTCCTCTAGCCTTCACTACCCAGCTTTAGTTTCATACCTAACATTTTCAACTGTCTTCTCATTTCTGGATATGGAATATAGTAAATAGCACTGATCTTAGCACAGCTTATTCTTAGCATTCCCTTTCTAGATGAAAATTGATATTGTATTCTACCTTTCCTGGCTTTCAGTTGCTGTCTGATTTGGTCAGTTTTGTTGCTATCACCCAGGAACTACCAGACACCTTTACTAGCCCTCTTCTGTCATGTGCAGAATCTAAATTAAGCGGCCGATGGACTTGCCAAGCATTGCAACATTCGATATCAATAGTTGCTATTTACACGATTTATGAGAAGCTGAGCAAGTCCCCAAGACAGGCATAGGATGTTATTTTTTTGGAAACAGCAAAATCTGCAGTTGTCTTTTCAGTTATTTCACCCTAAAGTCTGTACCACTTTACAGCTGAAGTCTCAGAGGCACTTCCATTGGTGCTTGTTAAATAGCGCTTCACAGGAGCCCTCTGAGGAAGGAATTCCTGTTTTGCAGCAGGGAAGCTGATGTGTGGCTTAAAACAGTAGCTGTCAAGTCAAGGGCAGAGCCAGGAACAGATCTCAGGAGCTGTTTCTCACCTGCTTAACCTTCAGCTCTTTTCTGTGAGAAGCCAGCCAGTGAGAAGCTTCCTCTCAAACAGCAAATTCATAAATGGGGCTCTTTTTCCTCTTTTGAATGCACCTCTGTCATTTCTGTGCTGTCTCACCTGGCAGCCATCCCTTCAGGAACAAGCTGTTGTAGCACCAGGCGGGTGCTGAGCATAGGAAATGAAGCATTCCTTACTGTCTAGGGCAGCTTTTGGTTGGGTTTCTGAGTGTTAGTGCGTAAGTGCTACTTTGTGCTGCTGAATTCTTTAATTCTGTCATTTACGTTTAGTGTGGTTTCATTTGGTTTTATGGATATTTTTTGAGTCTGGGAGCTTTGGGCCTGCAACAGCAACTATCATGTCTGTGTGTCTGTTTTGCCACGTGGAATTGTGCTGAAAGCTAGTAATAACCATAAAAATGCAATTTCCAGAAACTTACGGGCTGAATTGATGCTTGCTGAAAAAAACATAGCAGGGTTTATTGAATTCAGTGGTGCTGAATCAGACAGAGTGTAACAAAATCTTCACCTGTACAATTTCTGCAGTAATTTCTTCAGTTATTTTGCCTAGCTAAGTGGATTGTACATTCATCAAAGAAAGTTGCACAGCAATAGTTTGATCAAACGTCTATTGAACCTACCAGAATTCTTTCCATTTGATTCCTGGGACAGTATCCATGACTTAATGGTAGTCTTCTGTCCAGCACAGTAAACATTTAGAAAGGTAATATGGTGTTCAGTCATTAATATAGATAAATTCAGACATATTTTGACTACACATAAATGCAGTTGTCTTGATTGATTAGTATTTTCATAAAATGTCATGATTAAATAACATGTAAACATGAAGTAATAATATTGTACTGGATGCTGAGATATATGTAATGAGTACCTGAATGAGGTACATGTAATTAACTCTTGAAAAAACAAGTCTTCTGGCAGAAAATATAGATGATTACTGTCTGCAGTCACCAGCCAGACATCATTAAGATTGCTCTGTCTTTTTTCAGCACCTACTAAATTAACTATTTTATTTTCCTAATGTATCAGGAGAGTAAACTAATGTAAGGGTAGTTCTGATGCCATAATATCTTTGTACTACTACAAGAGTAGAAAGCAGTTCCCATCTGGAGCTTTGAATATTAGTGTTACGAGCTGTAACTTTTCAAAACAGACTGTTGAGGGAGAGATTTCCTGGTAAAATATTTAATATTATCCAATGCCTAAATTTTGTATGGCCCATTTTCTGCTCATGTTTGCCACTGTTAAAAAATGGTCCGTGTACTTACATGCCTGTTGCCACAGGGTAAGTATCCTTTGCTTTTTTAAAATATAACACATTCGGGGGTTTCAGGTTTAATCACGTTGGTGTTCGTTTTCGTAGCACAGGTGCAGCAGTGAACAGCAGTGAAAGTCTCCCTCCATCCTCATCTGTCAATGACATCTCATCCATGTCCACGGATCAAACCCTGGCGTCTGACACGGACAGCAGCCTGGAAGCTTCTGCGGGACCCCTCGGTTGTTGCAGGTGACTAGCCGCCTGCCTGCGAAACCCAGCGTTCTTCAGAGGATGATGTAATTTAGGAGGAAAAATTGATGGGAGCTAAGAGATGAAAAGAATGAGAAATAATAAACACAAAGATTTAAACGAAACAAACAAACAAAATCTTTTCAGCCTGCTTCTCCTACAGAGTTATGTAATGCAGCTAAGCTCAAGTGTATATTTAACTTATAGTTGCTCTGCTTTGGTCTTCTTCCAGTGATGCTTACCAGGGGGGTAAAAAAAAAAAAGGAACTGAAAAATCCTTTTTTTAACCCCCTCCCCACAAGATGTAAAATGAATGGCTGCAAAACCAGCAACCTGCAACTGTCCTTTTCACACTGGCATGACAAGGTGTGCAGTAGCCACTCTCAAACATACGAGTGTGTATCAGCCTTCACTCTCTGTTCTGCCATCTGCCCAGTGAGGCAGACAGATATACATGCATTTTTCTCCATGTAGGAATAGCACATACACACACATGCCAAGAGAATTCTGGCAGTGTATGCAACTGTGTGCCTGTAGGAACACACACATCTGCATACGTATTTAGTGTGCACTCTGCAAACATAAATGGCCCATTTCAGGTGAACTGCATAACTACACATATGTGATATTACCAGTGTATATTCTATTTGTTTGTTCATTGATGAGGTTGCATATCATGTATGAGGACTTGTGGAAGTGTAAATAACCACATAGAACTGTGTCTCCCTCAGACACTTGAAGATGTAGCACCAAAATTTCTGCTGAGAGTTGTATATATATTTTGAAATAATAAGCAGTTTTACTGAAGGAAGAAGCCACAGAGCTTCATAGAAAAATGTTAGTTTGTGAATGTTAAGACTTGTTGTTCTGATTTTTAGAGCAGATATGCCAAGCTGAGACCAGGTTAGAAGGAAGCACATGTATCTTTGCAAGCTACAGGGAACAAGAATGAAGGTTTTTTATGCATGTCTAAGCCCAGAAAGATTTATCTCAGTAAGCAACTTTTCCTGTCACTGTTAAGTGAGTTATCATCTTAGGTCATAGATAGGCTCGCTATTATGAATTACAGGTATGTTTGTAAGTTAGAGGGTTGGGGAATGAGCAGATTGTGATATATGATTATGAAAAGGACCTGCAACAACTTGTTTTTATTTTATGTCTAGGTCTTTACTAGGTTAGATAGAGAAAGGATATTTGTGGCCCACTCCCCCTCAGTGTATGTTTGCGACTTAGAGGTTGTTTTCCCTTTAAATCATTCCCTATCAGGGACCTCTGCTACTAAGAGAACAGGCCTTCTCCAGGTGCTTTTGGCTGTTCATTTGCTCATGACAAATCATCAGACTCCCCAGGAAGTTTTAGCAGCTGTGTTACATGGAAAAGAACCACGGAGTGCATGGGTCTAGTATTCTTATTTTCTAAGTAATAGCAAAGGTTATCATTCAGCTGGTGCTCTGGGGTGAAAGGGATGCAATCAGGGGTCTTAGGCAGTTTTGACAAGTTCCAAAGAACCCAATAGTGACCGAATATCAAATTGAATTTACCAGGTAATAATCCACAGGGTTTCCAATGGTAAGTAACAGCAAGTGTTTTTACCAGAGAATGACAACAGTCCACACAGAATTTCATAACAATTGAATATTTTTCCAGCCAAAACAACAATTAGCATTCTCCACTGCAAGGTCATTGTTACCCGAGTTGGAAATTAAACTAAAATCTGAGTCATCTGTCCTGTTACCAAAGTGTGCCATGTAAACTGAAATGAGCTAAATTGTACTCTAATACTTTTCCAAATGTCAGAGAGAGGAAATGTTTAGACTATGTTAGTGGATATTTTAAATTTACTAATTCTTGTGTATTCAAAATTCTACCAAAATAGGACTGTTCTATTGGCTGGCGTCCCAGCCTGCCATTCTGTGGTAGGAGAAAAAATTGAGTATCAAGTCAGATTTTGTTCAAAGGGAAGAAAGGAAGAAAAGATTTCTCCCCAGGATGGGGAGAAGGGGAGGTAAAAATAAAGTGGATATCAAATAATTTCAGAATTGGTAAGTCTGAGCTGTATCAGAATTGCTATAGGAAGTGGTTTTTTCCCCCTGGTTGTATTTTTGGTAGATTTTTATCAAAATTTTTTTGAGAATAAAATTAGGTTGATCATGTTCTAAAAACTCAGAGCAGTAATTTTTAAAGCAATAATTTACTACTGCTAAATATATTTAGCAATATTCTCTCTTAAGCCATGAAACATCAAGTCATTATTGAGTGCTGTAACTCTCACTTCAAAGCCAATGATCATAAAAATATTGAAAAGTTAACAGCAAAGCTCTGTAGGTATGTAGGCAATAACACCAAGGGTGACTTCTTAGCAATAATGAAATGTATCACCTCCAGATTTAATTAATCATAGATATATATTAATAATATTCAGGTAACTAATATCTGCTTTACATTCCTTAGTGTGCACCATTTGGGTGTGTTGTTTAAACAAAACTCAACCAAGTATCTCAGAGAGGCAAAGCTGTATGTAAGGAACTGCAAACACACCACCAATGTAAACCGTGAAATTGGAGTAACCACAGTTCATTGCCAGCGGTATTATGGAGATGTGACATAGGCAATAGCAGAGAAAACATTTGCAGTAGATGGATACTCCCATGTTTCACCTATTGAAGCCAAAAAACATACTCTTGGTCCCATGGTATAATTCAGTCTTGTTTGTGTTCATGAGGGCTGGGTGGAGAACCACAGAAGATGTCCTTTGGTCGGCACTGAATGAACCCACATCACAGGAGTTACATAGCTTTATTCCCAGCAGCCCTGATTCTGCTGAGCACCAGTGATTGTTCAAACACCTGATGGAAACTATAGGGATGCGTACATAATTTTAACTAGCACGTGCTTTTGTCCTTTGCTCAGCAGTGACTGACATCAGCATGTGCTTAAGTGCCTTGCTGAAATGGGGCCTAAAAGAATTACTGCATCTCTTTTTGTCCTCAAATTAGTCTCCTTTTTGGGAAGCTCTGTCTAGGGGAGGAGACTTGGAGCTGTCCACATTGGACACTAGAAAAAAAGCCATCAATGAAGAAAAGCATTAGTTCTTTACAATTCAGGTCCTTGTATGTCCAAACTGAAGTAGTGACCATCAAGCAGGAATAGCATCCTTTGTTTTGCTTTGTGCCAGGGATTTGGTGCTGTCAAGCTGATACAGTATAACAATGCATGTACTCTTGAATTAAAGATTATAGTGATGATGTTCTGAGGCTGTCTTAAGGGAAACAAATTTTATTTTCTGATTCAAGAAGTTTTGATATCCTTCTCTTCAAGTGTGTTCCCCTTTACTCCAACATTTTGTTCAGCTTGAAAATAATAAATACTTTTCTTATTTTTGCCATTGATCTTTAAAATCTGCTTCTGTTTAAAATGTTACTAAATGTGGTACTTGAGCAACACTTTTCACTTAATTCTCTGAGGTTTGCAGTTGTAAGCATGATTGCCACCACTCTAGAGATGAAGGAAATTGGGAAGCAAGAGATCTATGACAGATGTTCCAGGGTATTTAGGCACTAAAGAGGCAATCAGAAAGCCTATGCCAGAAGTGGCACCGTCCTGAAGGGCAGCTGGACACCTTGGTATTTTTGAAAATATGCCTAAGAGCCTATTGATATCTTAAGTGCCTGAAATTTTGTCCCAAGTGGCTTACTTAGGCCATGTATGTAGCTATGAGCTGGGTGAGGAGAATGGCAGAAGCATTTTAACTATCAATGGCTGCTCAGAGCACTAGCTGCAAGAAATAGCATTGAGAAGGTATAGAGGAAAGTTGCTGCAAAACATTCCTGCATTATTTTCAGGTGGAGTACTTCTGGATAGAATGAGAAACAAAAAAAAAAGGAAAAAGTCAGAATGGCTCTTAAAAGACCCTTTGTCCATTTTCTTTTGCATTGCTGAGTTTAAATGAGGATGAGATATTGATTTGTTACAAGTTGATGCAAGCTTATATATGTTTTCAATCCAAAATTTTTGGTAATTTTTGAAAACAGTCTTCAGATACCGACTTGGTAACTGAAATAGTATGTTGTGAGTTTTGACTATATTCCATTAAATTGTAGTATATCTTTAGAAAGTTCAGATATTTGAGCTGGTCGCACACTGATTTATGGGAATTGCATTGTGGTTGATGATCCCCTCCCTATTATCTAGAATTCCACAGCATGGATAGATTTAGGAATCTTAGCAAGCTTGCATTACATGAAACGGAGCTTAAATTGGAGTGCAAGTGTGGTAATGTGTTTAAAACAAACAAACAAACAAAAGCTGCAGAAAGCCTGAACAGGTTTTCCAAGCCCTAATGCACTGATGGTTTTCCTCTGGAAATCCCCAGTTCCTGCACAGCAGTGGCTGCCAACGGTGACACGAGATAGATGATCATGTCACTATGTCGCTCTTCCAAACTTATAACCAATTTGGTTTTTATCTTCACATATGTTGCTTTATCTTCAAATTTTGGGCTAATTATAGTGAGGAAATTAGACCTGTTGCAGTGCCTTTAGGGAGTTTTCTAAAGCAGTACTACTTAGCTGATTCAGATTGTATTATATATTTGACAGTGAGCACCAGTGGTTTCTTTTCAAATTCTTTTCCATATTTTCTCATGAAAAATGTGCTAATAGCAAATTTTAGAACTGCCTGATAAAGTCACTTTCAGCAAATCTCCCAAATTTTTTATTAAAGAAAAAAAGGTGTTTTGAGTATCCTGAAATTATTGTGAAATGTAATTGGAACATTTTAATTCAAAATAACTTCTAATAACGAGTGTTAGCTTATTTATATTACAAACTTTATAGTATTTCAAAGGATCAAAAATTTCTTTCATTTCAGATATATTTATATTTTTTTCTTCATGCTTATTGAGATTTTAAAATTTTGTGTGAATTCAAACATGCAAACCCAACCAAACAAAAAAGACATTTTGCAACAAACTCTGTGCTTCCAGGGAGAGCAATACAGAAGAACACCTGCAGGGAAGAATTAGAGGGGGTTTTTTAATAGTCTGGCAAAAAAAAAGTCTGAGTCAATGGTTCCTTTTCTGTTTAGGCTATTATTTTTCTTTGCTTCTGTATGTGTCTGTAGGAAAGAGAGGGTGTACATAGGGATGTGATTTTCAGAACCTCTGTTCTACTCATACTCAGTGTGAATAAAGAGAGTAGTTGTAATATAACCACACATCTTCAAGAATCTGATGGCTGTGCTTATTTGAACTTCCACCACTTTGCAAAGGACACAATTAACTGATTGCAAGCTCAAGGTGATCTTTTTCACACACACACAAAGAAAATCGTTGTGCAGTAGGTTTGAATATTATACAAATATGTAATGTCTTAATTAGTAAGATGCTTGGGGGAGGCAGGGGAATGGTGAATGTGTCATCTTCACTGATGAGCTGGAAAACAGACCTGTCCAGTGGAATTTAGTGCAATCCTCTCGATGTATTAGGAACTTGCCAATGTGGCCTGATTTTTTTTTTCCTTTTCTGTTGTTGGTTTGGGTTTTTTTTAATTAACTATTGATTGCAAGAGGTGAAATGTTTAACTTAATGCATGTTCAGGCTCATTGACCCATGGCAAGTTTGAGTTTTAAAGAGGGTTTGATTCGACAAAAGAATGTTGAAAAACTTCAACTGAGGCTAATGGTGCCTTTTTACTTGAGAGTGAAAAGCTGAAAAGCACACATTGAAGTAAGACACAGTCAATTTGGGAAATAAATGTATCCCTACCATGCTTATCATTTCAGACAGGTCTCTTTTGCTAATTTTCACTGAACAGGGCCATTCTTGTCTTCTGGAAAGCAAGATATTTATAATGTAAATAGTTGTATTGATTTATTTTTTCCCTTCCTCTGTAACTAATATGTAATAATCCAACATGCTATTTCTGTTAAAATCTTTTACAATAAGGCCGCTGTATGCCTAAATATGGTTGACCTCTGACCTTCTCCTAAGTCAGTCACATGCTGATAAAGGAGAGTGCTGGAAGTTTCAGTGTACATATAGAATCATGTATATTTAGTAAATTGGGTAAGTGGGACTTATGGCCAGTATACATTAAGCCACAACAGTAACAAAGCTCCAGATCTTAACTAGCAAAAACAACTGTTCACCTTGCCATGTCCATCCTGTAATAAGATCTAAGTTGCACCTGCCTGTAGTTCTGCATGATCAGACTTCAAAGTATAACTAACAAGATCTGTAATGTATCAGTGTTGATAAACGTAGTTGTAAAAAAAAAAAAAAAAAGAAAAGAAAAAAAGAAAAAAAAAAAGAAAAACAAAAAAACTCGACCAACAAAAGAAAATCAACAACAGCTCAGTATCAAGACTGGAAGATGAGGCATGTCCGATTTTGTTGCACAGTTATAGCTGAAAAGAACAACCGATGTCAGTCAGCATAAATGGACTACAGTAAGAGATTTGTTAAGGAACCAACATTATTTCCATATTGTTTTGTTCTTACCCTGTTTACTTTGACCATCTGTTGTTCCCTGTTCCACAGGGGACAACAGGGCCTCAGTGATCAGTGTTTTATGGGTCAATGTCACATTAATGATTTCCAATTTCTGTTTGTTTAGCAATTACTGAACTAAGATGGGACTCTCATGTTCTCCCATGTGTCAAAAGGAATCCTGTCAGAGCTTCCTCATGAGGATACTCCTCTCACTGCTGTCTTGACTCCTGTCAGTTGAATGACTTTGCAGTATTCCCAGTAAACAGCACAACGCAGCAAATATAATGACTAGGGCTTAATTGCGGGCACGTTGTGGATCTGTACTTTCACTGGGGCTCAAAGTCATGCAGGGACAGGACTCAATTGAAACATGGTATGTACTCTATGCATGACGCCTATATTACACCTTTATGACCTTATAGTGGTAAAACTGCTGATCTTTACGGATGTGGATTTGGACCATCTTTTTTTTTGGAGGAAAATTGTAGTGAACCTCCGTCCTTATCCCACAAACCACTTGCTCCTATCCAGAGCAGCTAAATGGAAGTTAAAATGGTGCGAGGGCCTGCTGGGGGCCGTGCACAGGGGTGAATTTCATGCTGTTTGAATGTGATCTTGCCAAAAAGCCTGTATGTCTAGCAGGGGAGACTGTGACTGTCCTATAAGGAGTGTTTGTGTTGTTTACTTTGAAACAAGCTTTGCTAATTAAAGTAGTGTATTCCGGAGTCCTATTTGAATGGCATGAAAGGGTATCAATGAAGAAGATACAAAGTATGCTCCTACAGCTCTCCTGGCTTCTTGTTTCTTTTCCTTCAGCCCTCTCTAGGGGTCACAGATAAAGCTGTAAATATGTGGACGTTGCCAGGATTACTAAATTCAGTAATTCAGTTCCTTCTGATGGGCTTCATTTAAGAAGCATTTACAGCACTACATAAATATAAAGGTATCTTAAGACACACAAGATTCAGACTTTTTGTCTTTAAGTACCTTTAGAGTCTATTCCTCTGGTTGACTGAGTAGAAAATATTGGGGGTGGGGGGAGAATGGCCTCATGACTGGACAGAATGAAGGAAATCTGCCAAGTAAAAGCTAGTCCTTCTACCATCTCTCTCTCCATTAAAAAATGTTAAACAAAATCAAGCCAAAAACAACAAACCCATTAAAAAAAACCAAACAAAAAATCATAACCCCCAAACCACCGTGCCAACTGCAGAGTTACTATTTGGAGACTCATTTTTCACAAAGTTGAACACACTTCACTCTAGGTGAAAAAAAGAACAAATAGGAGAGAGATGCTATCTTTTTGGGAAACATTGCTGTTTTTTTTAATTCTTGCACAAGCTATCTAAGTCCATAATATTTCCCAGCAAGTCAAAGCATAATACACAGAGGACATTTTTATATTTGGATTTATCATGCGTAGGGATGAAAATTAAAATCACAATCAGCCTTCTGTCAAAACAATTTGAAGGGGGGACGTATAGAAAAGAATGAATTAAAGCACTTGTAAGCACTGTAAAAAAAGAAATTCTTAGAGTTTTTGGTACTTAAATGTCATTTTAAGCATACTACGCACAGCTGAGTTGCCAAAAAAAAGACTTGCTAAAAAAAAGCAAGTTTTGCTTTGCTCTGACTAGCTAAAAAAAAGACAATTTTCAAGGTCTTTTTTTCTCCCAGCTTGTATACGCAGAGATTGGCCAAGCTACAACATATAATAGAAACCTCTGATTTGCAGTGGCTAGAAAATTTTGACTTTTTGATTCTTACTGTAAAATAAGGGGATCCATTTCTTATAGGAACCAGCTTTTTACTTTTATGGGGTACCTTTTGAGACAGTTGAAGAGGTTTTTTTTGAGAGATTTGCCTTTTTCAGTAGTCAAAATTTTTACGACCATGTTTCAGTGATTTACATCACTAAATGCGTGGTACACATCATTTAATCCAGATCCGAAGCTGTATCTGGGATTTAGCTTCCACGTAACCCAGAGTCCTAAATTCCAGAAAATCTGAAGTTGTATATGAACAGGAATGTTTCCTGTAATGCTCCTTGGTGTTCAAGGGAAGTACCTTTCGTAGCACCAGAGCAGCCTTGGAATTTTTCTTCAGTCAGCTTGTGTGCTGGCCCGAACATCTCCTGTGTGGTGAGAGGCCGTACGTGTGGAACGCTGATGAGCTGTAGCAGATCAATGGACTCGTCTGTGCGGAAGGAGATCCGGGTGCCTCTGCAAAACTCCCTCTCTGCTGGAGGCAAATGAATGAGATGAAGGTCAGTGAACAACCTTGTGCTCAAGCTGATGAACATTTCCTATGGGTCTGTGAGGCCTGTTTGGATGCACGGAGTCCAGCCCACAGTCCCCTCACAGTACCTATGCCTGTTCTAATCTGTGTGTGGGACTCGCTTTCTAGTTTGGTGACAGAGTTCAAGTTTTGCTTCTCCTGTTGAACCTTCTGCTGAAGGCTGTTCAGGTTTGTTTCTGTGTTTGTTCTGGTGCTTAGAAAGCAACAATTCTGCAGGCTTCATTCACTGCCCTGTGGCTGGGATTCAAGTACATGAAGATAGAGACTGGGATTATGTTGCTTTTCAACATGCTTTCCCAACTTCTCTGTTAATGGTACAGTTTGGAGCCTGTACTGTAAAACTGCTCTGCCTCCAAGAAAACATGACTGTCAGTATAGTGTAAGGAGCCAGGGAGGAAATTTAGCTGGTTAAATTAATACCAATTTCCTAATATATTTGTCTTATTTTGAAATTGACTGCTGGGAAGCAGTAAGTGTTGTTTGTCTCTTGATGCTTCCATATGATGTTCTGTCCACATTCCTGGAGTACTTATATATGAAATAGAAATTAGGGTGCTTGATAAAATAGCTCGCTTTCTGAATATGTCTATTTAATGGATAGACTGGGGCTTTTGTTAAGTAAGTCCCATTAGGGGGAACGGCTGGCTGTTGCTGTCTGGAAGATTTTAGCCTTTCTTGCATCATAAGCCAGGCACTAACAATGGGGGCATTTAACATTCCTCCAGGCTAAATTTAAAATGTGTGAAATTATTCCCGTCTCTACTTCATATCTATCATTGGAGAATAAGGGAAATTATCTTCGATACTTGCAAACTTATGAGGCAGAAATTACAAAGAAGTAACTGCTGCATCAAATACCCCTTCCTTTTTCCGGAACAATTAATGGTATAAAGTGTGGATGAGGTAAAAAGCTGTACAATGACCCCTTTCTGCTGTTAGCCCTAGCTAGGTTAAGACATGTCTGATGTTACAAGATTAAGTTGTTAAGAAAAAGAAATTGATAGCAGATGCTATGAAAACATCTTTAAGTCCTGATTTGCCGTCAACAAATGTTCAGAAACATTACCTCTGGAATTTTTTGTCTTGGAAGACACGTTTATGCCCATGCTTTGACAGATTTGTCCTCAACATTATCTAGATGATATTCAACTTTTTTGGTTCAGTTGCATCTTCTAAGAAGGAAAAGGATATGTTTAAAATGTCTCATCAGAATGTTAAATCACAGCTAGAATAAATGCTTGTTTTTTGGGGGTTTTTTTTGTTTGTTTTGTTTTGTTGGGGTTTTTTGTTGTGTGGGTGTTTTTCAATATGAATAATTACCAAAAAAAGTGCCCTAATAGTAAAAAGTCCTGGAGGTATGTTATCACAGGGTGCTGTTAAATGTGCCCTCCCCACAACTGTTTTCCAGAGGGAGCAGTCTGTCTTTTGGGGAAAGATTTGCGGATGTAGGTGCTCAGGGAGAATGGAGACTCTTGCTTAATATCAGCCTCAATTCAGACTTAACAGGGTTCGAACACAGAAAAATTCAGAGTATGTGCAAAAGCCCCCTTCAGTAAAATTGAAAGTACTGTAGCGTCCAACATGTCACTGAGTGGACTGAAGGTGAAGCTCTGGTTTTAAAATGAATGAACATTATGAGAAACACTCCAGGAGTCAAACCTAATGTCTGGATACTACTGCATTTCAGAGCTCCAAGGAGCCAGAACACTGTCCAAATTCTTTTTCAAAAGCCTAATTCCATGTAACAGGCCGGAATGCATACCTGTGTTCTCACAGCAGGAGTACCCCGAAATTTTTAGTGTATGTCTTTCTGAAATGTCAGTTAGCTGAAGGATGATTATGATTCTTTGCATAAAGGAAAACACTTTTTTTTGGCCATGTGCAGACCTCCCATCTTTTTTTCACCAGAAAGGAGAAAAGTAACATCTGGAACAACTCTACAACACAATACTGTGCTGCTGACTGCAGGTGGGTCAGTGGGAGAATGCTGGTCACATTTCAGCACAGTTGTACTCACCCATTGCAGCTTTCTGACATTGTATCACAAGCTCAAGGCAGGGCTAGTGGACATGGCAATAAAATTACTGCATGTATTGCTAAATTAATTCATTTGCTGACATTGTCACGTGATTTCTGAAATATATGAAGGAAGTTTTAATTTCCCTTTTTTGGCCATAATTACTAGCATGAACAAATTGACTGCATGACCAAGCCGTCCCTCAGTTTTATCATAGATTTTCTAAGCATTTAGCACAAAGGTAAACACTCACATGTGCTGCAAGAATTCACTACCACTGTTATGTAGCACAAAATCCAGCAGGACTGTGATTGTACATCAAATTTGCACAATGTTGTGGCCAATTCTTTGGGATCATCCAGCAAGTGGGGAGGAAAAAAAAAATTAAAAAATCAGAGTGTGCAGTGCAAAGAGGTTTTTTTTAAACCAGGAAGACAATCCTGGTTATCCCAGCTTCTGCTCCATGTTAGATCAGATCCCTTATCTCAGGTTAATGCTGCACTCATCTTGCTCCTCTGAATGTGGTGTTGCAGAGCTGTAGCAGCAACACGGCAGCCTTGGAATTTTTCTTCACTCAGCTTCTGTGACACAGACACAGTTCCATTCAGCAAGGAGGATGCACGGTACAGGTGAAGAGTGACACCTAAAGGCAGAAATGTGCCCGAGGCTCCGGCAAGGGCAACATTCAGCAAACCCTTCAGCCTGTAAATCGTCTGCTTGTTGTACTTCTTCTCCAGCCAGACTGACTCGGGACAGTTCATCATGTGGTCTGGAGCGTTTCTTGGATGCTCCAGAATTATGGACAAAGCATAATTCTACATTATCAGTAAGTTTTTGTTATTTTTCTTTGTTTTCCAGTAATTTTTTTGTGTATGAATGTCTGTAAATGGCTCCCTGTAGCACAGGGGATAACAAGAAATATGGTCAAGTGAACAGAACTGGGGGGGTAGATGACGTGGTGCTAAGCCAATTGGGGATGTGGGTACTTTTGGCCACCATCAATCTCTTCAAAACTACTTGGAGTTCTGGATGTAAAAGACTACAAAGAATTTAGATGATAACCTTTTATGACTTTTCACCTGTCTGGTCTGTGGCCAACTTGAAATTTTATAGTGACAAATTCTTCCAACAGAGCATGCAAAGATACATCCAAATACATGTTAGCGTATTTATCTTCCCTTTAGACAGCTCAGCCTTTAGAAAGCAGTACAACTGGGCAACACTATCATATTAGGAAATTGCTTTCAAATCTCTGCTCTAGTTGTTGTGTTGGTTTATTTCATTTCTATGTCCACTTTAACAGAAAGGCATTCTCTGAACCATACTTTAAGTATGCCTTCCTTCAATTTCTGTTAATATTATAAACAAGATCATAGATTCAGGAAATGGTTTGGGTTGGAAAGGACCTTAAAGATCACCTAGTGACCAACCCCCCAGCCATGGGCAGGACATATTCCACTAGATCGGGTTGCTCAGAGCCCCATCCAGCCTGGTTTTGAACACTCACAGGGATGAGGCATCCACAACCTCTCTGAGCAACCTGTGCCAGGGCCTTACCACCCTCACAGTAAAGAATTTCTTCCTAATATCTAAACCTGCCCTTTTTCAGTTTAAAGCCATTCTCCCTTGTCTTGTCACTATACTACCTTGTAAAAACCTCATCTCCAGCTCTTTTGTAGCCCCTTTGGGTACTGGGAGGTGCTGTAAGGTCTCCCTGGAGCCTTCTCTTCTCCACGCTGAACAGCCCCAATTCTCTCAGCCTATGAGGGCAGGAGGTGCTCCAACCCTCTGATCATCTTCATGGCCTCCTCTGGATCCACTCCAACAGGTCCATGTCTTTTCTGTGCTGAGGACTCCCACGCTGGATGCAGTACTCCAGGTGGGGTCTCACCATTACCACCAAACTACAGAGATCAACCTTGTCATATATTAATTAGTCCTTACCTCTATAACAAATTCTTTAGCAGTGGAGACAATCAGAAGTGGCAGACTGAAAGAAATCATACATGACCACTGTGAGTAATACTGTTTTAGGCTAAACTTTCATTTAGCTCTATACAACTGAAGCTGATGCTCCCATACAGAGCAAACATTATGACATTTAAAAAACCATGCATCTTGCCAAGTGATACAGCTTTTAATCTTCTGTTTTATGCTCTAGTGCGTTTATTTATTAGGGGATACTCCATCAGCTCAGGAAATGAGTTCTCTTAAAGATAATAGCATTCAGTAATTATCACATCTCTCATTTCCCTATGTCAGAGAAGCCATTTAAAATGATGATCACATCCAAATTCCTGCTACATTGCCTGTAAGATGTGTATGACAAGTAAAGAAAAAAATGTTACTGAATCAACATTGCAATCTTGCTATGAGGAGCTAATGAGTTTGCATTTCATAGTGAAGTGCATGCAAGGAATTCATATTTTCATTGATTTGATGTTATAGGTGGTACACAGTTAATACTCAGGGAACAACTACATAATATAGTAAATGCACACAAGAGCACTTCGGTTTTTTCTTCACAGAAGAGCATTAGGAGGAAGAACAGTCAGAGCAGCAACAACACAGAAACTAAATGAAAAATTACAATTAATTCAACAAGCTAAATGGAAAATATTTCCTTATCAAATTTTTTGTAAAACAGAATCCAGTAAGGCTTGTCTCAGATGGTGAGTTTCTGTCAGGTGTTTCTTTAAGTGCTATGTATGTGTGAGTAAGTCATATCACAAATGTTCAAAGGCAAGTTAGGAAACTAAATGACATTGCATATAGGCAGCAGTTCATTTCAGTTGGTGTGGTGGTTGAAGAAAATATGCCTGGAAACATTTTGGCACAATAGCTTTTTTTTTTTTCCTTACAACATAACACTGAAATACGGGTGTAGACTTACCCCCAGGTCACTGCAACGAAGAGGAAATTTTATATTCTCTTCCTTCCATTCTTTTTAACTACTGAAGAGTACAATTGCCTCAGTAGTATTAACAAATTAATCTACCAGAGTGGGGGATTTTTTGCAATTACTCAAGTTTTTATGTGAGAATGCATTGGATGTTTTAAAGAGTTTTTATGTTGAAAGAAAATACAGCAGGTTGTTAAGACTGAAAGAAAATCATTTCAGTAAAGTTGTGCTAATAAACTGATAATAAACACTAATGAACTGATAATGCTACTTAACTGCTGAGCATCTGGTTGAAACAGCTCTGAAACTATAAGCAATTTGGTTGTTGATGCTGTATTCAGCATTTTTAACTGATGAATAAACATCTGACAGCCATGTTGATTGCAGTCATCACTCTTCTGGAAATACCAAGTTTAATGAGCACAATAGAACAAAACAACACCCGATAATTGTAAACAGTCTCCCTGTAGGCAAATGGTTGTTCATAATATCAAACCAGAACTTCACCTTCAGCTCAGGTCAAAAGTTGGTTAAATACCACATGTCCTTTTGGAGTGTTAGGCTTCTGTAACCATGTGTGAGATTACCCCTAAAACACCTACACATATGAATGCACATCATGGGTAGGGACAAGTGGAGAGCTGAGGATGGCCAATGTGTTGTCCCACCCTCTGAATACAGGTGTGCTAATTTTGCATTGCAGAGAAGCAGTGGATTCCCCATCATTCCCCTCCATGCCAGGAGGACTTCTCTAATTCTGCGTGGGGCTCTGAGAACAATTGCTGTTTTGGGGGTTGTGGCCTTTGATGTCAAATAATTCAAGTTGTAGGTTTTGCTTCAGTTGGCGCATGATGTTTTCCCTGAGGTTCAGTAATGCGAACTGGAATGTTTATTGTCACACAGACTAAGAAGTAGTCTATGGTTTGCCTGTGGGAGCCCTTCTCTAACTAACTCATATAGTTCTGACCTACCCATTGAGACAGTTTCAAAGATTAAGGCAGGCAGCTCCTAAGGCTGAGAAAGAAAATTACTATTCTTCAACTGAGCAGGACGTAAAATAGCAATTAAAAGAACTAATGTGATGGTGATAAAAGTATGGGAGGTGCACTTTTATCCTATAAAGTACTCCTTAAAATTTAACACTTTCTCTCTGTGTTCTTGATACCCTAAAAACTCATCCTCCCCTTTCAGGACAAAAATGTTGTAGGAGCAGAGTTCACTGGTGTGATGCATTAATCTCCTACTCATCTCAGTCATAGATGCCAGAGCAGCATAGAGTTAAAGCCTCAATGAGAAAGGGAAATTCAGGTACTTGCTGCAGTCATTTCTGCACCTCAAACCTCATGTGTACATTCTCCTGTACTAACACCACTCACACAGGTCCAAGATTGTATCCCTTCGTCGAGCAAAAACTCCTCCTTCATTACCTAAGAGGAGATTTGGCTGAACAGGGTCAGAATCAAGGTCAAGCCTTATATACAGATGGAGGTGGAGAAAGAAACTACTTAACTGCTGAGATTAAATGTAATTATTTTCTGTAAAATAACTAAAATAGCAACTCAAGTGGTTTTGGTTCATTTCTCTTTTTTACTGATAGTGACTCATTTTTTCAGGTGTGAGAAGGAGTTAAAAGCACAGTTTCTCTACAGCAGTGTGGTGTAAGAGTCTGGCAGCTCCATCCCCTTCTCTGCTTCCTGAACCACCAACCACCACCAGACTTTTCTAAAAAGTATAATAATTTAAGGAAATTACCTACCTGTGTCTTCTATCCTGGACTAATTATATTTTTTCAGAAGGAAGAACCAAAAAGACACAAGATTTAAAAATTTTTGTATGAATAACTACTATATGTATGTGATTGAAAATAAAAGCAAGTCTTTAAAACCACAGAATCATAGTGTGGACTGCTTCATGAACTTTCACCTCTCAAGCCCTGCTTTTCAAGAGTATTATTATTATCAAACACAGTACAGTCATGTTTGGCAATTGCCCTCTGGACAACAGTGAAGCAAATAAAAAATATTTTGCCTTGCAATTTAGATATAGTTAGTTTTAGTATTGTGGTAATACTCTGGCTTGTGGTGGTATACATTTGACATGATACAATATTTTCAACCACTTCCTTGACAAGATAATTGAAGATTGAATAATATACTGAAGTAGAAAACAATTTACTGCCAGGGTTAATTCTATTTTGTTTCTTTCTAATACTTTGGTATTGAGGAATGGTATAAAAATGTTGCCTGTGCTTACTTTAGTGCTTTGATTACAACTGTTTTTTAAACTGATGAAATCCATTTACAACCAGAACTCACTTTGGTTTTCCTCCAAATACTGTGCATAAATACTTTTTATACAAAGCCGTAACATTTATGTAATGAAAGATTTAATTAGAATGGAAGTAAGAAGGTACTCTCAGTTTAAAAAAAAATTAAATACTTTTCATGTTTTATCTTGGCCATTTGTTATTTTGCCACTTTGGTTAGTATACTAGATATGAATGAAATATCTAACATTTCCAACGGCATTCTGAAGTTTCAACACCACCAGGACATTAAATCAAATTTTAAGGAGGGAAATGTGAAACTCATTCTGTATTGACATTAGATTTTTGCAAAATTAGTTACATCCCTTTTTTAGTCAAAGATAGATCAATTGGCACAAACAGCACAACCACAATGTGTCCTGTTGCTTTAATAACTAATCTTTTATATGTGATATATACATATATATACATATATTTAGGCTGTCAGGATGTCGATTTTGGTATCTATAGTGTGCTCCTACTTCATGTGTTACTGTTTGTGATTCCTCACTTGTCTTAGTAGAAGTGCTACAAATCAGGACTGGCCATCTGTGAGCATACCTTGAACAAGTTGCAAATTCAGTCTCCTACATTTGGAGCTAAACTTCCCAAGATGGCTACAGCACCACTCAAAATCATGTGCAGAAAACCAATCACCCCCCTCTTCCCCACCTGCTTTTCTCAGAAATACAAAATTGTCGAAGGTGTTGCAAATAACAACACTAAGATGTTCGTTAAAATACTTTTGTTATGTTGATGATGCAAATTTTTATTATCCTGCACACAGTCTGAATTAAAATTTGCCTGGACCTCCTGGTATTTAAGGATCTGTGAAGTCGGATATCAACTAATTATAAATTATAAAGAGATAGCTTGCATGCCTACAAAATGAAGAAACAGAGGTAAGAGATTTGTTATTAACTCATTTATGGATGCTAAAGCACGCAAGAGCTAGCAAGAGACTGCAGGTAAATTTAACTACATAGAAAGTAAAAGATGGTACAAAGGAAATACATATATAAAAATATTTTGTGTGAATAATACCAGAATTTCAGCCACATCTCTCTGTTTCTTTAAATAGCATTATAGGACCATGGTATTGTCCCAGAAAACTGTCTGTTCTGGTGTGTGGAAGGAAATAGAGGTTTTGGTCACAGCATTCATCTTAACGGTGTGCCAGCTGCCCGTGCAGCTTCACTGCAAGTACTTGAAGCCTATTACATAAAATAAAAAACAGGCTTAGCACACAGGCATGCAGATGGCAAGATATTAAACTGAAAGATTAAATAGTATGCTAATTTCACGTGCCTTAGATTATCTGATTTTGTTCATTATTTGCTTTAACAATGAAAAAGATGAACACAGTGAAAAGGGAGCTGCTTTGTTTTCTTCAGAGCAGAACAGATGTGCATCAGATGCTGCAGTCCTTTGTGTAAAGAAATACATTTCATTCTGCAGCATTGCCAAGATAAAATTAACAAAATCATCTGAGTTTCAGATTTCTTTTCTTGAAGATTTAAATACTTGATTTAAAGTGTCTGTGGAACAGTCAGTGGTTTGCAGTAAAGTGTGTTTCTGAGACAGAATAGAGTGTCTACAGTGTTAAGCCAGTTACAAGTGGGCATGAACATTAAAATACCTGCTTTCGGATATTGTTTTGCTAGCATTCTGTAATAGAAAGTTCTCCAGCAGTGTCATAAAAAATATCCTCTGAAACCCTTCTTGGGTAATAATTACACAACTAATGGTAACATGGACGTCAGTCTGAGCTTTAGCAGACATAGTTAATCGGTGCAGCTCCATTGCCTTCACTGTATTTGTGGCAGTATCAGTAAATTAACTTGCTCAAAACATCTCCCACTGGAGAAAATCCACATTGCAGTCCATCTTCTAAAACAGAATAATTCCTGTTATTTTTCCTATGCTTCATACCATATTTGAACATCAGAAGTATTAGGTAGGAAGACATACTGGCATTGGAGTAGACTAATGCACTTAAACAAAAACTGCTTTAAAATTATATTTTCTATGTATAAAATAAAGTGAATGCTGCACCGTTGATGAGAGGACCTCCCAGCCAGACCAGGACAGAAAAGGGATGGAAGGAGATGAGCCAGTGGATGGAAATATACAGAATGTTTCAAGTCAAAAGATGAAACATCTCTGTAGAGAATTACAAACCCAGCAGCAGCAAGTATTCCTTGGACACAGAAATGGCTAAGAAGGCAACCAAGAATGAAGTCATCTTGTCTACAGTCCTGGAGCGGGAGGTGTGGTCATGCCACAGCATTCTAACTTCCCTGAATCCAGAAATGTTTAAGTCAGTTATCCAGTGAAATCTCCTGTACCATGTCAATTTGCACCAGGGAAGAAGACTGCAGGTACAGTGATGTAAGAGGAAACCCCTGCTGTAGATTGGAGTGTGCCAAGAGGAAGTTCATGTGCACAGCTCAAATGACTGCTGATTTATTGATGGCTCATGTATGTAGTATTTTTAAAAAATTATTAAGATATCAGTACAGGTTTGGTATTTTGGTTTTGTTTTTTGGTTTTGGTTTGCTCTTTTTTTCCCTCCTCAAGAAAGACAAGGACAACTCTTAGCTACAAATGATTTGAGAAGAAAGAAATACCTGCCCACACAGTGGAATTTTGGAAGGAATTCCTCTATTCTTGCCTTTTCCAAATTACGTTTAAAGACTGCTCTGGTCCTCCCTTGTTTTTTTTCTGTAAGTATTTTTCTTCTGAGGACCATTTTATGCATAGTGATACTCAAAGGACTCCAATGTAAGGCCCCACAAGCAAGAAAATCTTGGTTTTTCTTAATTGCAGTGTACATCTCCTTTTAAAAGCTCCCGAATTTGGGTTGTCCACTCATGGAAGAGCAACCACAACATTTGACCTGGATGTGCAGTCACTTTGTCTGCTTGAATAATTTCAAGGACTGAATAACCCAACTACACTTGTTTTGAACAAATATGAGCCATCCGCAGGCTCATGTTTATTTATGCACACTAGTGATCAGACCACTTAAAAATAAGTTCACAATTTACATGCAGAGAAGTCATAAATCAGAGGGCAGACTTCTCTAGCGAAACACTTCAGAAACTTTTGAGCTAATGTAGCTTCAATTCTTGGCCTTGTTCCACTAACCAGGTAAGTTTCTTGAACCACTGACACCAGCTAGCCTACTGTCAAAAAGAAGATGGTTTATTCATATTAAAATCAAGTAATGTCATGTCTGCTTCTCTTTAGAAGAAAGAAAAATGACAACGTAACAATGGAACTTGTCAGACTTTTTTGGAGAAAATACACTGCTTGTATTGGAATAAGGCAGCCATACCAGTGGGGAATACAAATCTTAGAGACTATTTTTAAAAATACTAATACGTTTCTCCAGGAACTGTGAAAATATAAGTTCTTCAAATTTTCAGTGATCTTCAGATAAATAATTTATGTTTTTCCTCCCACTCTTACACAGCTTAAAAAATGTGGCTCTTTTCCTCTGGTGATTTCGTATCTAATGTATTCCTATGGTTATCTAACAATGATCAGTTCATTGAGATTAAAATAAGAAATAAAAAATATACTCCTTCATATTTTGTTTCCTGCATGTGCAGAACATATGGTGAAGTTTGCTTGTTTAAATCTCTCCCTGATAAGCCTTGGAGACAATGGATCTATTTAAAAGTTGTAAAGGAAACAATTGACGCCAAATAGTTTCCTGTAATAGAAAAGAGAATTCTCCCCAGTCGCATCCAGCTAAGGGTTTGGATCAGCATCTGATCCCATAGTATATGTTAATCCCCTTATCTTAAGCTTCATTTTAAACTGTCACACAAACCAAGTAAGTTAGAGATAGATTTGGTCAGACTGTGTTTGGGTTTGAATTTTTTTCTTTTAAAAAACAAGAGATTAGTAACAGATGCTAAACACCCTCTATTTGTCTACTGTTCTTGAAGTTGTCGGGGTACTTCTCTATGGACTTTTGGTAGTTGAGGGTCAGAAAATATGTTTTGGAAAAATGTATGCCAATATTTTTCTCTGTAAATAACAGCAGTTTCCCAATTCTGAGCTCAGGTAGACTATGATATGTATCACAAGGGACTAAGTGTTATTTGTAGTTGTACAATAGTATAATCCAAGTAATAAAAGCACTTTGTTTATGACAAACTCCTTTTTTTTTCTCCATCTTTAATTGGTAATGTGGTTGTGATTTGCATGCTGTATGATTTGAACATATCCGTTCAACCTATTTTCATTTGTGATAAGAGTGCCTTTTCTAGGGCACTATTCTTTTCTATTTCCATGCAATGGGATAAATTAGATAAATTACACAGAGATGTGGACAATGCAATCAAATACTAGGACAAGGAACAGAAAAAAATTACGTGTTTTCCACTTAAACAGGAATTAAACACTTTTAAAAGCTTTGAGGGCTATCATTTTAGAGTGAGATTATTCTTTGCACCAGCGGTAATAAAAGACAGATAATGTCTCACTGGTGGCTCTGTTTTGTCATGATTCAAATGTCATGGCACAGATTGTCTTGTCCAGACACAGAGCAGACACCTGAATGAGTAGATTCTCCTATTCCCAACTCTATGTGTATCATGGATGTGCCTGCCTCCAGAGGTGCTGCAAATGTGGCAGACTTGCCCTGTGCCTCGAGCCTGTCTGTCTGACAGCTCCCTTACGTGCTCCTGAGACTGTGGCATCAACCCACGCTCTGACCCTACTGGGTTCTGCTCTCCTGTCACAGGCTTTTCACCCAGCCCTCCCAGGCACATCTCCCTCCATGGGCCCTGGACACACAGCAGCTCAGCCCCAGAAACTCAGATTTCAGTGAAGTGCTCAGACCTTGCAAT